TGTTTTAAAGATCCATTGGCAAATTTATCTTCTTCAAGACAATCCATGTGTGTGTGGATACACAAGATTGGTCAAGTGTTGGCAATTGTTCACTATTACCTATATGTTTGCATAGCCTGACATTTTCTATCTAGAAAACTTAAAAAATACTCCTAGAAATGACTGGTATTTTTTTAAATGTTTATTTATTTATTTTTGAGGGGTTGGGGAGAAAACACAAGTGGATGAGGGGCAGAGAGAGAGGGAGATACAGAATCCAAAGCAGGCTCCAGGCTCTAAGCTCAGAGTCCAACACGGGGCTCGAACTTAGGAACTGTGAGATCACGACCTGAGCCAAAGTCGGACGCTTAATCATCTGAGCCACCCAACCACCCTGGCATTACTGGTATTATTGATATTGCTATCATTACATTTTCTAACTGGCTATTGCAACCACACAAGAAAATGAATGGTTTCAGGTCTTAATTACATGTAAGTTCGACTCACTAGTTATAACAGTTCCTCAGCTGATTTTCTTGAATTCTTTAGACAGATGATTATATTCTTGGCAAACTCTTCTCCCTTGTCCTTTTAAATATTAATGTTTCCTTCTAGTTCTCATCTTATAGCATCACAGCAAGAATGATAAACCACTGCAGTGTTCATGTTAGTGGGGAAAGGACCAATCCCTCCCTCTTTTATTAGAAATGTTTTAAAATGCTCACCACTAAGTAACCTTCCTTGGAAGGACTCTGAGTCCTTTAGTCAGGTTTATTTAATATAAATTATCTTTATATGCCATTAGGTAGTTTCTATTTTTTAAAGATTGAGCAATGAAACTGCCCATTGAAATAGGCAGAATAACAACGTAGTCGATTCCAGTTCTTCCGAAACTCATGTAAAGTGACTACAAAGGAAGCGATAAGCATTACTATACAGGGGTTGTCTGGTAACTGCACATGTGATGGTTGCAAGAAGTAAAGCACAAGATGAAAACCTGAGGAGACTGGAAAAAAAGTGTACCAGCTGGCATGACTGAAGTCTGACGTGGATCAGAGACATAAGTGAGCCAGGAATAGATCATACAGGGTGGGGAAAGGCTCCGCAGGTGGGTGGCAAGCAGGAGACCCTGATGCCACAGGATACGACTCCACTCACCAGGCCCCGTTACAGCCTTGGGCTAGGAGGTAAGGGTCCAGCCCTCCCCTAACCAATGCCCCGAACGACTGCGGCACAAGATGGCCGTGCGACACGTCCTGAGACTGGCTTCCAACCCAAATGACAGGACAAGAATGCCAATCAGATCAGTGAAAAGGCAGCCACAGTGGAAAAAGATATGTTGGGAGGGCGCCTGGCGGCTCAGTCTGATTTTGGCTCAGGTCATGATCTCATGGTTCGTGAGTTCGAGCCCCACGTCGGGCTCCCCGTTGGCAGTGTGGAACCTGCTTGGGATGCTCGCTCTCTCTTCTCTCTCTCTGCCCCTCCCTTGCTCACACTTTCTCTCTCGCTCAAAATAAATAAATAAATAACTTAAAAAAAAAAAAAAAGAAAAAAGAAGATATGTTGGCAACACATACAACAGGAGCTTATTTCCTACAAAATGATTTTTAAAAAGGACAACTAACCAGATAAGTGGTTGAGTCCTCAACAGGCACTTCACAAAAAAAGGCATCCAAATGGCAAATAAGCATATGAAAAAGTAGCCAAGCTTCAGGGAAATTCGGGAAATGCAAATCAGAACTGTAACACCACTACACTCTCTGGGCAATACCAAGTCTGTCAAGCCAGGGCGGCAGGACACTCATGTGCGGCATGCAGGAGAGCTGTGTGGCCGTGCCTTCCGCTGCTCCCATAACATGGCAACCCCAGCATGGGTGTACACCCAGGGACACACGAGAACGCTCACAGCAATGTCATCTGTAATGGTCCCAAACTGGAAACAGCTCAAATATCCATCAACAGTGGAACGGATACATAAATTAGAACAGTCATCCAAAGGAAGACTGTACTGTGGTGGTTCTGGAATGTTCCAGTCTCGGGAACCCTTTGCTCTATTAAAAATTACTGAGAATGACAAAGCACTTCTCTTGATCTAGGTTATGTCCATTAGCGTTCACTAGTGTACAAATTTAAACTGGGAAATGTTTAAACCCCGTGTAACTCTGATGAGCAAGAGTGAAAAAGGTAAACAGCATCTTAGCATGATTACAATAATAGTTTTGACCCCATGCACCCTCTGAAAGGATCTGAGACCCCTAGACCACTTTATAATCCACTGTGTGTAACAATGAAAATGAACAGATATAATACTGAGTGAAACAAGCCTCACTCTGAAAAAGACAATCGTGTGCATGACCCCACTGACACAAAGCACAGCAAGGGCAAAGACAAGGCTGTGGTGACTAGGAGGGCGCACAGGGGAGGCCACGACAGCCCCGGCCTGTGAGCTGGGTGATAACACATGGGTACAGTCACTCTCATGAGTGAACTATTCCTTGTCACAGTGGCAATCATGAGGTCATCCCCTAAATCCAAGAAACATATATAAAAGGCTGGTTTTTCTCATTTAAGCTGTTAATCTAATAAGTCCTATCAACAGACTCCCTGTCATAAATCAGTGTCTTCTTGGGGGGAAGCCCCACCTTCTCTACGATCACTATTATGGGAATATACAGTTGTATCTCACCAATATTGTACTTAGGATTAAAAGTGAATTTGGCCTCAGAAGAAGCTAGCATCCATTCCCCTCGTTCTCTATTTTCTGGAACGCTTCACATAAGAACCCTATTACTGTGTATTAGCATTGCCGATCTATTTAGATTTGTTCCTGTCATCTTATTTGGTTTTCCACTTGGCCACACTTTCCTCTTGATTCTGCTTCCACTTGTTTCCTGATTCTTTTTGTTGGCTTGATATCCAGTTAATTTTGTTCCTTTATATCAATGTGTAGAGTTATTTGCTGTTAGTCAGTGTCTAGATTCTCCCTGGAAGAGGAGAACCTCAATCAAAAACAGAATCCACGGGGTGCCTGGCTGGCTCAGTTGGTGAAGTGTGCGACTCCTGACCTTGGGGATGTGAGTTCGAGTCCCACATGGGATGTAGAGATCACTTAAAAATAAAATCTTAAAAAAGAGAGACAGAGAGAGAATCCAGAAACAGAGTTAACTCCATATGCCATATGGTGTTCGATAAAGGTGGCATTTCAAATCAACGGGGGAAAGAAACATCAGTCAATAAATGGTGTTGACATCGTGTGGCTAACCATTTTGAGGGAAGCTATGGGACCCTGACCTCACATTTTGTCTAAAAAGCTTTATTGAGATAGAATTTATATACCATAAAATACACCCATTTTGAATGTATCTACCTCATATTTTATCCCAAATCAAATGTATGAGTCAAATATTTATAAAGAATGAGACCAATGAAGTATAAGACAGCTTACATTAACTTATTCAAAATCACCATTAAGAAAGGTCCGCTTATCGTAATTAGAACACAGAACCCAGAAATCATAAAGAGACAGACTAGTAGCCGTGGCTTCTGATACAAGAAAAGAAACTCCCAAAACTCTGAAAGCTGGAGGGACATACTTTACACGTGCCAAAGGCCGTATCTACACAGCACAACACTTTGACTCAAAGTGTAAAAAGATGATCAGCAAAATTATAGATTTCAAACAGGTCATTTTTTCTTTTTTTTTTTTTTTTTTTTTTTTTTTTTTTCCAACGTTTATTTATTTTTGGGACAGAGAGAGACAGGGCATGAACGGGGGAGGGGCAGAGAGAGAGGGAGACACAGAATCGGAAACAGGCTCCAGGTTCTGAGCCATCAGCCCAGAGCCTGACGCGGGGCTCGAACTCACGGACCGCGAGATCGTGACCTGGCTGAAGTCGGACGCTTAACCGACTGCGCCACCCAGGTGCCCCCAGGTCATTTTTTCAATGAACTCACCTGGCACTTCTCTGCCTACCACAAGTTTTAGAAACCTCATCAGATACGACAGCCCATCTTATATAAAGATGGTCCAAAGTTCTCTCCAAAAAGTAGGATACACAAATCAGCAGGATCACACCCATCTGTGACCGCCTGATTCTCAACCCCTCCTGGCCCTCCTCCTCTACTTCATCCCCCTGAGAACTACGAGCATAATGCAGGCCCACAAGTCAGCATCTGCTCAGGAACTGGGTTCCGCCCGGCTCTGCGCCCAGTGCCCCCGGAGACTCTGCCCGGTGCTGAGCTCCGGGGCTGCCTGCACGCAGTGCCCTGTGACTGAGCTGACGTACTGCCACCTCCCAGAGCACATCCTTGGGTGGACACGGAGGAATTGCGTCTGACGAGGACATGCCTGGCACACCAGGATACAGCCAGTGTTAGCGGACTGCACATAACCGCTCCACAGGCCCGGTCGGCAGCACCGATTGCTCACTCCAACCAAGACAAGAGAGGCCTCCCGGTGTCAGCACCTCCCCTGGAGGAACACCGCACCTGTGGCGCACCTAGGACTTCGCAAGGTCGGTCACGCCAAGGCCAGCGATAAGCAGCCACCACTGGCACGCAGTCTGCCATCAGTGTATTCCTGTCCATGCAGAGCCCAAAGAAGCTCCAGACATTTACTTCAGAGAGTGCTGTACAAGAAGACAAACACTCATCTGATGAAAATAAGTCCAAAACTTCGAGAAATAGAATGCAAAGACCTAAGTCAGAAGAAAACAGGGAAGGGGTGCCAGGGTGGCTCAGTGGGTTGCGCATCAGACTCTGGATCTCCACTCAGGTCATGATCCCAGGGCCCGGACAGAGCAGGGCCTGCTCAGGATTCTCTCCCTCTGACCCTCCCCCACTCACATGCACACTTGTGAGTGTGCTCTCTCTCTCTCTCTCTCTCTCTCTCTCAAAATAAATAAACTTTTTAAAAAAGAGAGAGAGAAGAAGAAGGAAACAGGGAAATGACTGGGGCTGAGAGGGCCAGACTGCCCCTCTCAGGACCGTAAGCCCCTCCCTGAGAGGGGAGAAGGGCCTACCTTCTGGGTGCGGTCGGCCTCTGGCACAACCCCCTTAGAGGTCCTGCTGTCCTCCGTGGGGAACGCGGCGGCCTGCTCAGCCCCCTGGTCCTCGTCCTCATCCAGCTCCTCCGACTCGTCCTCCTCCGAGTCCAGCTCCAAGCTCTCCCCATTCACGTGGAGGGTGCTGGCACCCAGGTCCTTGTCGCCCTGGAACACGGGCAAGGGCACATCTGTCACTCAGAACCCCAGCATCAAGAGCAACGTGCCAACTCCTGCCAGGGTGTGGCCTGTGGGGTGGGATGCAGAGACCCTGCCGCTGGGGGAAGGGCCAGGAAGGAGGAAGGGATGAGGGGGCAGGGAGCACTGGGCAGGAGGCTGTACCCCAGAGCGAGGCACCTCAGAGCCTAGGTTCCTTCAAAATGGACCGAGGTCATCAAATTACCGACAACCTCACATGGTGCTCTCGTGGCCAAAGAGGTCCTGACAGAGACGTGGGTTTCCAAGCACGTGTGCAACCAACCAGGCACGCCTTACCTTAGAGCCCACAGTGGAATGAGTTATACTCTTAAACATCTCAATCACCGTCCTCTGTTTTAATACTTTGGTCTTTTTCTTAGGAACCAGGCTATAGGTTCCCATTCTTCGTTTTTTCTTCCGAGATACTGCAGCTGCTAAAACAAAAGGCAAGCAAGCTAAAAAAAAAAAAAAAGTCAAAAGGGGACAAGAGAGGAAAAAGAAATACCATTCAAATGTTTTTTAAAGGTAGGTGATAATTCACAAATTCTGATTACCAAAATCATCAGCTTGCCACAAAAGTGACAGGCATTTCTTGTTTCAAGTGGCACAGAGAAAGCTGCTAAGACTTTACAGATCATTTGTTTTGCGCACAATAAACACTCAGCCCTGTGCACGGCGAACACTATGAGCCCGCAGCAAGCAGGCATAAGTGTAAGGGCAAACCCACCGCCCACCAGCAGCAGGGCCCTGGAGCGCCCTCCACACTTGGTCCCCTGCCTCTGGACGGTCCCGTCTCTAGTACCGGTGCGGCTGCATGAGGGAGGCTGAAGGGGGGAAGGCGGCCTTGCTGCCCATCACTGGAGATGGGTCCAGTCTGCCTCCCTGAGACTCTGCTCCTCACCCACGTCGAGGAGCACACGGCACAATCTCTAGATGTGTCCGCCTCTAAAGAGAGTGTGGCCATGCAGCATAGGCCACCGTCATTCCCTGGACCGTTTCCCAGCACCTTACACCTCACCAAGCAGTCCACCAACCGAAGGGAAAGAAGTATGTGAAGCAAACCACACACGTACATGAGGTCAAGGGAGACACAGGACAGGAAAAAGCAAACGTCTGGGGGTCTGAGGTTTCCAGACAACAGCTGGGGCTCCTGGGGACTGAGGACTCCTAAGCCTGTTCTGAATAAAGCAGCTCCAGGTTGACTTGTTTTATAGAATGAGGCTGTTGGGGCCCCAGGTGGCTCAGTCAGTTAAGCATCCAACTTCGGCTCAGGTCATGATCTCATGGTTCATGGGTTCGAGCGCCGCATCCGGCTCTGTGCCAACAGCTCAGAGTCTGGAGCCTGCTTCAGATTCTGTGTCTCCCTCTCTCTCTGCCCCTCCCCTCCCCACACTCTGTTTCTCTCTCTCCAAAAATAAATAGACATTAAAAATTAAAAAAAAAAAAAACAGAATGAGGCTGTCTATAATAACTTTTTCCTTTTTAAGTTCTAGGCTTTAAAAAAAAATCTGAAAACCACTCTTCTAAAGGGCTATAAAACCTCTATTCCATTCCATTTTTGTTCCACAAAGCAGAGGAAAAGAGCATTGGAAAAGCATGCAAGAGCGTAAACTATGCCACAGTAAGGGCAGACAGCCCTTACACATGCAGACAGCCCCACATGTGGCATTGAGGACACCAGGCGTGCCTCAGCCCTAGGCCAAGGGGCACACAGGACACTTGAGACAGTCATCCACGCAGCCCTGCACCCCCACTGAGGTGGCTCTGAGCGCATAACTGGTCACAAGGAAACACGGCTCTGTCTTTCCTGTGCTAGAACGGGGTGACTGGTGCCAGGCACAGCTGTGCCCAAGCTGAGACGGAGAGTAAGATGCACTTTGCAGCCACTGAGTCTGCCTGGCCTTCCTGTTTGTGCTACGACAGGATGGGAAAGGAACGAAGCTCTGGGGCCAGCACCACAGTAATTTAAAATACTGATGGAGAGAAAAGACCGGCTCCAACACTCCACCCACCCCCCCCCCCCCCCCCCAGGGAAGATAGCACAACGGGGCAAAGGAAGGAACGAGGTCTGAAGAAGAAAGTAGACAGAGGCGGTCTACCCGGACAAGGTCACAGAGGGCTGTATCCACACGTGCCCCACTCATCCCAGCAGACCTGACCAGAGGCAAGGAGCACCCCCCACCCCACCTCGGCAGGCTTTCTGCAACTCCTATGGCACTGACAGGTGCACCATCTGTCCTGTGATAAGGCAAGGCGGCCATGGTGGTACTTCCCTCTGCAGGAGACACTCCCAGGCACAGAAGTTGTGGTTTTGTACCCTTTCCAGGAGGTGACATCAGAAGTGCCTGATACACAGGACAACCTCACAGAAAGGTCCTTTCTGCACTGGGGAGAGTCACCTCATCTCTGTAGGAACTATGGGTGTCTCAGAGGCTCCAGAGGGAGGCCCCTTGCTCGAGACACGCTCACCCCAGTATACTCCCTGTGGGGCTGCTCCTGCAGCCCCACCTCCTGCAGAGGCCTGGATAAGAGATCAAATGTTCACCTACTCCCTCAATTGACCATGGACAGAAGCAAGCTCAAATGAGTGAGAAATGCCCATGGGAAGTGGCTGATCACAGAATCAAACCACCCTTCTCTACAACCTTAACCCAAAGGTCTCCCCAACACACTGTTGTTTCCAACAGCACTTAATTTATAAACTGGGGGGCAGGGGGAAGTTCTCAAATCTAAAGTCTTCTATCCAATCAGAACAAGGGGGGGCAAGACTTAATGAAAACAATCTTCATTTTGAGATTGAAAACAGGCATAGAAACCAACGTCGGGATTCAACAGGTTTCAGAACAGAGGTCTGACATCCCTCTGCAGGTTTACGGGTGAGCAGAGAAGGGCCCGTCGACCCTGACCCCACTCCCTTACAGCACACATGCATTCACAGTCAACAAGTTTCTAGTTTCGAGAGGTGTGGGTTCAGCACACACACTCAGAGAGCAGAGACAGTTGTCAGGTCTCCCTATTACCTGTCTGTGACTTTGTGGTGGCCACGTAGCACTGATTTTGAGGTAGTGATTGATGAAGGGGTGGGAAGGGGGGTAAAAGCTGCTGTCGTCCAAAATCAGAAAGGTTTTTGTTGATCTCCTCTTTTGGCTCCTCATGATCTCGAGCTTCTCGAACTTCTCTGGGATCCTTACTGGTTGCATGCTTGAAAACAAAGACAATTAATAACTGTAATTACACACAAGCAGATCGTCACTGACACAACATGCCCCCAAAACACCGTTCCTTTCCCCCATAAACTTGCCTTGACCAAGAAAGAAGATAAAGTACAAAGCCTGCCGCCATCAGAGGGCCTGGCGCTGGTGCACGTGTGCCAGGCCACCCCTTGGATGACGTGGGCCAGCATCTGCAAGCTCAAAATGGTGTTGACAAGAACGAGGAGGAAAAGGAGTAGAGAGAAGCAGCGACAGTGACTGTATGTGGCACACAAGCCCTGAAATGTTGTCTACCTGGTCCTTCACAGGAAGAGTCTGCTAACACCTGATTTAGGTAAATGTATTGGTTATGGAAGTGCTTTCACGGCCTATCATTTTCAAGGCTGCCCTTGCAACATCCTCCCCAACCCCAATGGCACAACAGATACCCATGCTACATTTTTTAACTTATCTTTTGCTCACAGTTTTACCAGTCTCCTAAATCTGTTTTCAGTCTCAGCCTTCCAAGACTCTGGCAGCCTGCAGTACTGTCGTCAGCCCTCATCCTGATTAGCAATGTTGCCTTAGTTCCAGACTGCCTAGACACAGCTAACCCTCTCCCCTCCATCTACTTCCCTAAAATCACCTGCAGCCTCGAAATACTTGGACCTCGTATCAAATTCCATTTAACCAAGTTTTGTTATGCACGCAGTAAGGGCAATAACAGTGAAGAAAGAAGCATCCTTCAACAGTGCTGGGAAACAGGATCTCCACATGCAAAACAATAGAGCCAGACTCTCACCACCCGCTACACGCAAACATTAGTTCAGAATGGACCAACGACCTGAACTGTAAAAAAAACTCTAAAACTCTTAGAAGAAAACACAGGAAAAGCTTCATGACACTGGATTTTGCAGTGATTTCTTGGATATGATACCAAAAGCACAGGCAACAAAAGAAAAATCAGATAAATTAGACTTCTTCAAAATTAAAAATTTCTGTTCATCAAAGGATACAATCAACAGAATGAACAGGCAACCTATATAGAATGGGAGAAATTATTTGCATATCACATATCTGATAAGCGATTAATATCCAGAATACATAAAGAGCTCCTACAACTCAGCAACAAAACAAACAACCTGATTAAAAAATGGGCAAAGCATCTGATTACACAGTTCTCCAAAGAAGACATTCAACATGAAAAGATGTTCAACATCACTAATCTTCAGGAAAATGCAAATCAAAACCATAGTATCTCCTCACACCATTAGGATGGCTACTATAAAAACCAAAAACTGTCTATTATACCTCAATTAAACACACACACACACACACACACACACACACACACAGAAAACAAATGTTGAAAAGGACATGAAGAAATTAGAACCCTTGTGCACTGTTGGTGGGAACATAAAATGGCAGAGCCGCTGTGGAGAACAGTTAGGCAGTTTCTCAAAAAGCTAAACATAGAATTACCATGTGATCCAGCAATCCCACTTTGGATATATACCTAAAAGAATTGAAAACAGAATCTCAAAGAGCTATTTGTACACAATTGTTCATGGCAGTGTCATTCACAACAGCCATGGGGCAGAAGCAACCCAAGGGTCCGCTGACAGGTGAAAGGATAAACAAAATGTGCTCCGGCCACACCACAGAATATTAGCCTTAAAAAGGAGGGAAATC